CAGAAAGCGAATATATTACAAACAAAGATACGTAACCAGCCACACCATACACACGACTGTAAACTGATAAAAGCAGATAGGGTTTATGACATGAGACACCACACAATAATCCAATGTAAGAAACAGTTATTCATATGATTATTTCTCCTCTGTTTCTGGATTATATAATTTTTTTTGTTCTCAGTTAGAGAGGGAGCCTCTTGAGTTTACGGTATTTGTAGTCACTATAGACAAAAGGCTTGAATTTGGGAGCATTATCGTGGCCGGTAATTAGCTCTGGCAAAGTTCCGACAACGTGATCAAGGTTTGGTTCGGCAAAAACCGGCCAAGAGATTCTCGTCTTCTCCTTATCCATTGTCGCTCTATGCGCCCCACTCTTATACTTCCCATTGCTCATCCTCTGCGTAATCCACACACACACACAAAAAAAAACAAAATTAACGCAAAAGCATGCAGCTTATCTGAAGTGTATGAGCTGAGTTTTAATAATTCCTACCGTGATTTGATCCGCGATGATGACGATGATCACAGACTCGTCATACTTGACATCGATCCATTTGTTATCCTTGAATGCTTGAAGCCCCTCTGTTTCATTAGCGATCAAGAATGTGATTCCATTGAGATCGGTGTGAGGCGGAGCTCCATAGAGCAAATCGAGTTCTGGACACGGCGGATAGAAGATGACCTTCATCATATACTCCAGTGTTTCTCCGCCGAGACCTTCTTTCAGTGCCTCACGACCTAACCCTAATCCTTCTGATAGCCACCCCATGATTTTCTCCGATAGTCTCTTTACATGCTTTGCGTACTCCTCATTTACCTCTCTGTTCCAATATTTCCAAGATTAATTACGGAAACTTTGTTCTTGCAGGTCCAAGTGTGTAACTCAAAACTAATTGACAATAAGTAAAATGATCCATTATACTTAGCGAGACAATTACAACATTCTAAAATACTTAGTATTACCTGTAATCTGGAGAATTTTTAGGCCAGAATCTGTAGTTGATTCTTGATGGTGGCCAGATGGTGTGAAAGAGATGATCGGCCCAGGTTTGTATACCTTCTTCATTTTTATAGGTATTTTTGTTGTATCCTTCAATGTTTATGGAGTTAGCTGGCCTCGCTACGTCTTCCTTCTCCGTCTCGGGAAGCTCGAAAAACTCCGTCCCAACTTCCTTTAACCGCCGTATCAGCTCCGTCGGGATCCCGTGATTAACCACTTTAAAGATCCCCCATTCTTGGCTCACTTTCACCACCATACGCGCCACAAGATTTTCATCAGGGATACTTAGATCCACGACGGGGACGTCTTCTGCTGTGGCTTGGATCTTAACAGCGGATTTCTCCTTCTTTGATGGCATTGTCATAGTCTCGGCGAAGAGAGACGACGGAGTAATGTGTTGGTTTCTCTGAACCTCCATGATTTTTTTTCAATCGCAGAACAGCTTAGTGGTTTATTTAGATGTTGAATGAGGTGACAAGGTGCGGTATATGGGATCTATATATAATAAAGTTACATATGAATGTAGTAGCATAAGTCACATACTGTTTTGTCGCACTGGTTTACTTTATCATGTCACATGATTCATGTGTTTCCCCTTTGCTAAACGATTGGTTAAACTATTTGAGTCGTTGGACTACTCTTGGACTTTCTGATCCTACTACATTCATGTGTAACTTTATTATATACTAGGTAATTAAAGGACCCGCATATACGTAGGTTTGTGATAGAATATTTTATAATCCGTAAAAAATATTTTATAATCCGTGAAAAAACTAATTCAAAAAGGTAAAAAATTGAATAAATTACCCATGAAATAAACAAAATAAAACCGAAAATGATGATATACAATAATTTAAGAAATACATTTATCTTGATTGTTTTTCTTATTTGATTTCCAAGTAATTCTTAAATTTTATCATGTAATTAGTTTTTTTTTTCTATTCAGAAGTAATTTAGTTTTTATTACTTCACTATTCTATTATTTTATAAACATTTGAATTAATTATTCATTTTCTTATTTGAATTTTTCAGTTTTATAAATATTTTATAATCTGTAAAAAAAAAAAATGAAAAGTGTAAGATCACTAATAGAGAAGTCTCATTCTTATTAAGTTGTTTTGATTCGTTTTTATTATATTATTTTCATTTAAATTTGTCAAATATTTTAAAATAATTAGTTTTTCTCTATTCCTAATTGAATTAGGTTAATTTTTTAATGTATTTACTCATATATCTATTTTTCCAAGGTTTTGACGAATTAAATCTCTTCTTTTTAGTTGCAAACTAAAATTGTATATTTTAAGACGATTTCTTTCACATAATTGATTCCAAAATTTTGCAAGAAGATGCACAAAGCTTTAGCTTGCAACTTGGAGGAAGCGAATAAAAATACTACAATTAGATCGCCGTAGTCTATCTTCTTTATCGAATAAGAGGACAATTGATGTTATTTTCTAATGAAAAAGCTGAGATAAAATTCGTCGAAGAGATTATCAAAGTTTAAAATTGTTTGGTGAAAATATTAAGATAGCACAAACGCTTATTATATAATGACAAAATATTATAATCTATAACAATTTGGGTATGTAAACCTAAGTCTATTTGAACTAAAACGTGTTTACACATGTATTATTAATATAACAATCTTGATATATATATATATTTTATAATCTTCTTGATAAATACAAATATATAAGCTTAAAAAGAAATAAAATTTGTATGATATATATGGTAAAATCTAATT